ATTAGGACTAAACTATTTCAAGACTTATTTATTTTATACAAAATCTTTGTTATGAACTGGCTAATTTGGGATAAAAAATTAATTTGAAAGAATAGGCATATTCGCGTAAGTTAAGATTTTAAAATACGTGTTTCATTCTCCGTATTTTATAAGGTGCCTAAATAGCGGAGATGTTAGTGTACATTAAACCACGCAGGTGGTGCGGGTTCGAGACACAGCAAGTCAACTTGGTTAATGTATTCTTTTTTATTATGCTCGGGCTAAACTTAAAAAAAAAATTCTTTTAGGAATCTAGATCTAGATCTAGATTGTCGGGTGTCCGATAGGGCACTTCCCGGCGCCACAGGCGCTTCAAATTTGGCATGATCTTGCCTTGGTGCGACAGAACACGGGGGCCGGTTGGCCGAAAAGTCTACGATGTGAGGGTCAAAACTGACCTCGACTGACCGGTACCTTATATGAGCTATAAATCGAAAAAAAATGTCCACGGAGGAACCTCTTCATAACTCTTGAGGTCGTAGACCGACCTTCGGGCGAATTAATTAAGCATTCAAATTCTCAATGTTTTCGAAAGCCTAAGCGAAGCTGGGCAGCATGCCTAGTAGACTTGAAAAGCTGGTTCCAAATTTTTTATTGCCGGAAAGCAAATTTTGTACCCAAAGTTGAATATTTTATAACATTTGTGTAATAAGTACAGAATTACTTCCGGTTTCATTAAGGCTAGAGATAGTCAAAGTAATGATTACTAATAATATAGTAGTAATTTAGCAAACACTTTTATTTTTAATTTTGATTGGTAGAGTCAGGGTATTGTGGTGGTGAAGGATGTTATATTATTTAATATGAATACAATTTTACGCTATACATCATAGATCACTATTGTGTATTTTTATCATGGAGAACAATTGTTCTAACTTTTATTATTCTACTCTCCCTGGCCATTCCGGTTGACTTCAATGAGAGGTTGAGGGCAGTATTTTGAACATATTTGAATTGATAGAATAATTCTAAACTGCTTTTCAACGGCTTATATTCGATTCAAAAATACAAAATGTAACTATTATTTTATCGCTTGCCATATTTTTAAAAAAGATTTCTTCAAATTTTAGTATGATTACATAGACTTTTCATGCCTACTAAAAATAAAGACTGTTTCTTTGCTAAATTTTTAAATGTATATTTTTAATGTTCAGTCTCTCTGAGTACTGAAAACGTTTAGTTTTCGGAAAACATGGAACGGCGTGGCCTGGCGGTAGAGCACCTTCTTGCGTACTAAACTTCCATGGAATCTGTTGGCATGTTGGAGCCAATCGCCTTTCAGCCAAACAGCTCCAACCCACCTCCCTTGGCTCCGATGTAAGTCTGTGAGCATGTTGAAGTATAATCAAGTGTAAACGTACAGGTTATAAGACCCATACAACGTGGTTGCCAGATAAATAATTATTTCCACAGGTTGTTGCCATCTGTCTAGCTTTATTGCTTGCGCCGGCTTAGGCAGTATTTTTTATTTAAATTTAAATAACGCGTTGATATCTTCAAACAACATTTCGTTAAATTAAATTTAAAAAAAAAAGAAAGACACGTCTAGACGTATACAAAGATTAACCGAATTTCCTTACACATAATTTCTGTTTCCCATCAAAAAAAAATTTAAAAATAAAAAGCCGACCGAATAATACATCGTTGCATAGATTTTTTTTTATATACCGACATCAATGTTATTGTTAGGGTCAGGATTATACCCAAAGCTGGTCTTAAAACCAAAGAAAAACACGTCTAGATGTATACAAAATTTAACCGAAACTCCTTACATATAATTTCTGTTTCCTTCAAAAAAAATAATAATAAAAAGCCGACTGAATAATACATCATTGCATAGATTTTTTTTTATACCGACATCAATGTTATTGTTAGGGTCAGGATTATACCCAAAGCTGGTCTTAATACCAGGGTTGGGAGATAATTTGTTTGCCAAAATCTAGCTGCCGGCATTAAAGTAGAACCGATCTAGAAGGTAGGGAAAATAGAGCTCAGCTCTTCACAGCATCGCATATGAAGCGTAGAATCCATCCCCTCTTAGTCCGTCTTTATAGGGCTGGTAAGTAGGTCACGAACCAGTTCTACGGCTCAATAAAACCTGCATGAGCCATAAAACTGGTTGGTGACCTACTTACCAGCCCTATTGTCGCTAGCTTGGGTCTGCTACATATCAAGGAAAGGGGTGCCTTTTGAACTCCCAGTCAACGAACCCGAACACTCTGGTCTAGCAATGACGCTCTACCATTTGACCACATCTACTCCACCTGTTGTTTAAACACACTATATAAAAAAAACAAGTGTCTGATGTATATATGCATATATTTATAGAGCAAACGTATGTACACATTGTATTTCATGGTTCAATAAATCAGAAAACCGAAGATAACAAAGACAACAAATCTAGTTCTAATACCACTCGCACTGCAAATAAAGCGGCCATCACGTAAACAAAGCAGCCTGTCACGCGAACAAAGCGGCCATCACGTGAACAAAGCGGGCCATCACGTTAACAAAGCAGCCTGTCACGTTAACAAAGCGGCCCATCACGTTAACAAAGCGGCCCATCACGTTAACAAAGCGGCCCATCACGTTAACAAAGCGGCCATCACGTTAACAAAGCGGCCCATCACGTGAACAAAGCGGCCCACCACGTGAACATCATGTAAACCAAGTGGCCTCTCAACAAACCACCGTCTTCCCTGGGCCTATAAATTAAGACAAAATGAAGACTTTGTAGTGAGACATGTCCATGGATGTTTACTCGAAAATCCTGGGTCGAAAAATATCTTTCACATTAACATTTTATATAATAATTACCTCTTCATAAACTCGTAGAACAAATGCGCACATCTATTTACGTTGAAACACCAAAAACAATGAACTAGACTTAAGAAATAATTTGTTCACGTACACTGGCAACATAGTATCACAGGATCTTGAAGAGCATACATTATTATAAATTAGATGAGTAGTAGTATAAACTTGAATGAAATCCATGTTGTATAAGAATACATGCAAAATATTCACACGATACTATACATTATCAATAATATTTATAGTCTAAAGCAATACTATATTACTTATATATATATATATATATATATATATATATATATATATATATATATATATATATATATATATATATATATATAAACTAGATTAATAACAGCGTAATCTTTATTACAAACTGATGAAGGCCTCATTTAAATTTAAATTGAGACTCACAATTTGTATTTTAATATATTTATATAATAGTTGTAACTTGGAAAGTCGCTCTGTATAGAAGGTTTTGTTACGATGGAATCTATTCTTCATCTACTGGTGAGCAAGTAGCGACTGTTGAGTCACTTTTGTATAGTCACTTTTATACATGTTCTAACTATGGACTTGAGGCAGTGTGTTTCATAATTTTTAAATCCATCCTTTTCGTGAATATTGTGCCTTTATGCGTCCTATCTGTATGGGGTTTAATATCCATGGACAATAAACGATATGAGCCCTATTATCCACGGGCACAATGATCCATGTGGGCACGTATATCCACGGATAATGAGCCATATGAGCCATAATATCCGAGCTTTATACACTGAGCCACACGGGCCTTAATATCAGTGGACAATGAGCCATATATGCTATAATATCCACTGTTTGTCCACGGACACTGTGGCATATGGGCCTTAATATCAGTGGACAATGAGCTATATATGCTATAATATCCACTGTTTGTCCACGGACACTGTGGCATATGGGCCCTAATATCAGTGGACAATGAGCCATATATGCTATAATATCCACTGTTTGTCCACGGACACTGTGGCATATGGGCCCTAATATCAGTGGACAATGAGCCATATATGCTATAATATCCACTGTTTGTCCACGGACACTGTGGCATATGGGCCCTAATATCAGTGGACAATGAGCCATATATGCTATAATATCCACTGTTTGTCCACGGACACTGTGGCATATGGGCCCTAATATCAGTGGACAATGAGCCATATATGCTATAATATCCACTTTTTGTTCACGGACACTGTGGCATATGGGCCCTAATATCAGTGGACAATGAGCCATATATGCTATAATATCCACTGTTTGTCCACGGACACTGTGGCATATGGGCCTTAATATCAGTGGACAATGAGCCATATATGCTATAATATCCACTGTTTGTCCACGGACACTGTGGCATATGGGCCCTAATATCAGTGGACAATGAGCCATATATGCTATAATATCCACTTTTTGTTCACGGACACTGTGGCATATGGGCCCTAATAACCATGATTAATGAAGCATTCGTGTCCTAGTATCAACATACAATGAGCCTAGTATCCACCGTCCATCCACGGACAATGAACCGTTGAGCCGTAATATCCAGCGTCTATCTAAAGACAATGAGCCGTATGGGTCCTAATATCCACGGGCATTGAGCCACTGAACCCTAGTATCGTCTATCCATGCACTGAGCCATTGGCCCCTAATAATCATGGACATTTAGCCCTAATATCCAGAATCTATCCACGAACAAAGAGCCATTTGGCTCTAATATCCATGGACGATGAGCCACTGAGCCCTTATATCCAGAATCTACCCACGGACAAGGAACCCCAGTATCCTGCATCTATCCACGGACACTAAGCCCTAATATCCACGGAGACTAAGCCATTGAGCCCCAATATCCAGCATCTATCCACTGAGACTGAGCCCTAATATCCAGCATCTATCCACGGACATAGAGCTCTAATATCCAGCATCGATCCACGGACACTGAGCCCTAATATCCAGCATCTACCCACGGACACAAAGCCCTAATATCCAGCACCTATCCACGGACACTGAACCCTAATATCCAGCATCTATCCACGGACACTGAACCCTAATATCCAGCATCTATCCACGGACACTGAACCCTAATATCCAGCATCTATCCATGGACATTGAACCCTAATATCCATGGACAATGAGCCCTAATATCCAGCATCTATCCACGGACACTGAGCCAGCAGCAGCAGATGAGCCCGTGAAGCGTGTGCCTGAAGGTCTTGTTAACGGCGCAGTACAGCACAAAGTTGAGTGAGAAGTTCAGGACTTGCATAAAGTTGGTGACGGCTTTGACGACCCCCATCTGGGCGTGGCTGGCGTTGGTGTACTCCATGGAGAACTTGAGCAGCTCGCTGGGCGACACGAGGATCAGGAACAGCAGCACCACCGCCACCAGCGTCGCCGTCACGCTGTTGAGCGCGCTGTCCGAGGGTCGCTTCCGGCCCACGTTCGTCTCGATGTTCCGGAGCTTGACCGCGTTTCCGGTCTGTCCTTGCCGGGGTGCGGTTTTCGGGACGTCGTTGAGCGCTTGAAACTCGTTGTCCGTGCTCTCGCTGCATAAGCTACGAGAAGGGGGTTCGGTTAGTTTAAGGTTATCCCCGCGACCTAGTGCGTTGAGTTTTGAATATTTTTTAACCTCGACCCCGTTTTCCGGGCATTGGCTATCCGGGGTCTCCAAAATATACGAAGGCTCCGTTGGTTGTCTTTTAACACGCGATCTTTTAACGTACAACCCGTTGGTTTTTTTGTTAAAGGTTGTTAAATGCGGCGGGTTGGTTCGCAGGGAGGTACTCTTCAACCCTTGGGAATTGTATCTGATGATAGAATGTTTCGGCGTCATCTCGTCCCGGAGTTTCTTCGCCCTCCGGATCTGGATAATAAGGCAGAGGTTAAAATACACCAGGGCGACGCACGGGATGAAATCGAACAGAATTGCCCAGATTATTCGTCGCTTCTTCATCCACTGACGGTCAACCAAATGCAACACTGTTCGTCCATCGTCGCACAACATCTCCTCAATACCCTGTTCAAAGAAGATGGGGATGGTGGCGATGGCGCAGACGACGAAGACCAAAGTGATGCTGGTTCGAGTCCGGCGCAGTGAGATGAGGTTCCTTGCCCGCAGCGGGTGGCAGACGGCGATGTAGCGCTCGGCCGCCATGACGACGATGAGGAGGGTGCTGGAGACGATGAAGACGGTGATGAGGCCGTTGACGAGCTGGTGGAAGTAGATCATGTGGTCGCCGATCTCGTAGAATTTTTTCTCTCGCGGGACCTGGGATGGGAAGGAAATATAAACGATTAGGATGATGGTATGGATTTAAGAAGCATTTATGTTTAAACTCCATTTTATTTAATCAAGATGTTGGTCCTAATTGAATACGTTTTCATGTTGAAGTTTAATTTATATTATCAACATGTTGTTCTTGATTTTATAAGATTTCATGTTTAACTTGAATTTATATAATTAACATGGTAGTCTTGATTTAATAAGTTTAAATATTTGACATGGGTTGGTATTTGAAACATTCTACAAGGTTTGATAAAAATACATTTTGACTCGATTATTATATCACACAATGGTGACTCAAAAAAACCCTGTTTAATTTTCGTAACAATTTCTTTACTATTTTAGCTGAAGTTTGTTTTCTTTTATTAAAAATTAATTTAAAGTTTTTTATTTAAAAAACGATTTTAGTAACATTTTATGGTAAGTGATAAGCTTAGAATGTTTTAAAACTGGCGAACGCTATGTTCCTGACGTTACTCTTGTGAGATACAGAAGCGTATTTATATTTCAAATGGTATTATTGTTGTCACATAAAGACAGAAGTCACCCCCCCCCCGTCTCACATACACATACACACTTCGTGACCAGAGAATAGTAGCCTAAACCGGTGATGAGTTGTTTTTTTTAAACTTACACCATTTCTTTATCACAGTCCAATCCAACTTCTCGATGGTTGTTTTTTTTTTGTTTGTTCATTAATGAGAATTGTTATCGGCAAATTACTGAGCAATCACACACAGATGCTATCAGTCTGATGGCGAAGAGGGGGGGGGGGGGTGAAAACTCATCGAAACAGAGAAATCGTGACGCAAGTCTATCAGCGAGAAATTTAAAAGATGCATTTACATAAACATGTCTGGCTTGTAGACAGCGCTTGATCTAGTTGTCTAGTAATTTCAAATCTAGTAGACAAGAATCTAGTTGTCCAGTAATTTCACATTTAGGGTAGTCGACAGTCTTAAACTGTATTGCTAGCTTGCATACAAGGCTGCATCTAGTTGTCCAGTAATTTCAAATCTAGTAGACAAGAATCTAGTAGTCTAGTAATTTCAAATCTGGTAGACAAACATCTAGTATTCCATTAATTTCAAATCTAGTAGACAAACATCTAGTAGTCTAGTAATTTCAAATCTAGTAGACAAACATCTAGTAGTCTAGTAATTTCAAATCTAGTAGACAAGATTCTAGTAGTCTAGTAATTTCAAATCTAGTAGACAAGAATCTAGTTGTCCAGTAAGTTCACATTTAGGGTAGTCGACAGTCATAAACTGTATTGCTAGCTTGCATGCAACGCTGTATCTAGTTGTCCAATAATTTCAAATGTAGTAGACAAACATCTAGTATACCAGTAATTTCAAATGTAGTAGACAAACATCTAGTATTCCAGTAATTTCAAATCTAGTAGACAAATCCTATTTGTCCAGTAATTTCAAATCTAGGGTAGTCGACAGCTGATGTACATACAACAATACATCTAGTAGTCCAGCAATTTCAAAACTATGTAAGATGACAGCCGTCAACTTTATAGATGGCTTGCATACAACGCTGCTTCTACTACTTCTAACAGTCCAATAAGTTCAGATCTAGGGTAGCCGTTATAAAGAATTGGTGCCGAAAATAAATTCCGATACACACAAAAAAAATAGTTTAATATCTACATCTGAATAATATTGTAAATCAATTTCCCGGATACCACCCAGGTTATGACCCCTGATTTAAAAAATTTAAAAAATACACCCCCCACACACACACACAATTTCTAGCGCTCAGTTTGAAAAGGGGAGGGGTATGTTAGACACACAGCATAACTTAAGATGAATCACAATTAAGTGAGCCAAGCTGGCTACAATGCTGACGACCGACAAAAGAAGAAATACTAAACTATACAAAGTTCTTGAGCCGATTCTGTCATAGATGTATAACAAATTCATGGAGAGTGGACAACTATACAAAGTTCTTGAGCCGATTGTCATAGATCTATAACAAATAAATGGAGAGTGGACAACTATACAAAGTTCTTGAGACGATTCTGTCATAGATCTATAACAAATCAAGTTCATGAGTCGATTCTGTCATAGATCTATAACAAATACATACATACAGACAGACAGACGGACAGACAGACATACATTCTAAATTTTAGAGACACGTGATACGTGACATGAACCCACGTGACTGATCAATGTGACGCAGCTGCCAAAATCTCCGAGGAATATTTTTTTCCGTCACCACATTTCATCTTTTATGTTTGCCACAGATGGGAGGGTTCAAGGCGCAAAGTTACAGCAAGTAACCACATTAGGGAAATCAATGGGTAATCAGCCATTGCGCGTACAAAAAGTAGTTCCTTTTTTCCTGATGTACACTACCAGTCGTAAAATAATGGAAGTGGGTATTTATTTTTTGTTTTTTAAAAAAAAATAATTTTTTTCTTGACATTTTTGTCCTAAGTTTCCGTTGTTGTCCTTGACTTACTTGACTTTTACCTTGTATTATAATTTAACTATTCCATTTTTTAAAAAAATAAATCCTGTTGTACTCTTTGATAAAAATGTACAGTGTTAATTTTCTTCACTTGTAATATTTTATTTAAAAATTTTAATTTGCATCTGGTAAACCTGAAAATACTTTAGATTAGATTTTTGAAAAAAAATGTTTTCGATGTAATTTGAAATTGTTTTAGATTTTAGATTTATCAGTTATGTCTTAGCTTGTGTCAAAATGACAATTTAGGGTGGACCAAATACCAAGCTCATTGCAGTTTCTTTTGGTTAGCGAGCGCTAGACTGCTACCCCGATGCCGAATCCGGGTTCAAGTCAGTAGAACACATAGATCAAGTGTACAAAGCATTGGAATACATTGCCTAGCGGTAGAGCGCTAGACTGCTAACCCGAAAATCTCGAGTTCAAATCCGGGTTTAAGTCAGTAGAAAGTTTGTGAGTCCTTTCAGCTCTGATGGGCACCTAACTAACGTTACGGAAAGTGAAGGCGGCTTGGCACACTATCCCTTCAAACGCCGAGGTTGCAGAAACAGGTGAACTCTATTTCACTTGCCCCATGGACCGTCAGGTTCGAAAACGGAACTTTATTTACTTACAGTTTTAATTTTCTTTACCATTATATTTCATTAAAAATTCTAATTTTGCACCTTGAAAATATATTTTTTTTTAGTTTTTAGAAGAAAAAAAAATGTTTCTGTTGGAATTTCCATGGGTTTTTTTTAAATGGTCAGTTATATCGTCGCTTGTGTGGAAAGAACCATTAGGTAATGACTCCCGCGGGTATTGTTAATCTATGTGCACAACAAGCACACAAACGTGCCAGCTAATTACAGTTTTTTTTTTTTTGTTAGAGTGGATCGTTGTGTTTGAGCTTATAGAGATTTTGTGTATGGGCTTACAGTGTTGTTGTTTGGGTTTATAGAGTTGTGTATGGGCTTACAGATTTGTGTATGGGCTTACATAGTTGTTTTGTATGGGCTAACAGAGTGGTTATGTATGGGCTTACAGGATTATTGTGTATGAGTTTGTATAGTTGTGTATTGGCTTAAAGGGTTGTATGGGCTTACTGACTTGTGTGTGGGATTACAGAGTTGTGTATGGCCCAACAGATGTTGTTTGTGGGCTTACAGAGTTGTTGAGTACAAATGAACTGCCATTGTCTGTATTATTCTAACTCTCATTTTTGCCACTCCATTACTAACAAAAACACCAAAAAAGTGTCCACAACATTTGTGTATTAAAATCATGCCTCATGTAATTAAGTCTGATGCCCAGGCGATTTGCTACTTCCTGTTTGGTGTTTATCTGCCAGACCCGAGTACTCGCGTGCTGGACCCCCCCCCCCCCCCCCCCACACACACACACATTGCTTCTTCGCTAATGTGTGAGACTGCAATTATATTTTTTTTAGTTACTAATTTTAGTTCAGACGTTGAGTTTAAAAAAAAAGAAAAAAAAAATTTCTCGCGTGCTGCAAAGATGACTTCCATTTTGTTTGGACTAATTTTTGTACAGACTTGAATTGTTAAAAAGGCGGATGCTTCTGTTGTCGTTTAAAATACATTACCCCTTGGTCTCTTAGTAAAGTGTAAAACTTTTGTTTTTTTATTAATTAAAAAGTAGCACATTGGGGGGGGGGGGGTGGAGAAGGACGGAGTGGTCGGGCGGTAACGCGTATGATAGTATAGTTCCCTTGTTAAAACCTGACTGCCTATGGTACAAGTGAAGTAGAGTTCACCTGTTTCTGTGACCTCGGCTTATGGAGGGATAATGTGGTCAGCACTATGCCCAGCCGCCTTTACTTTCCCTAAAGTGAGTTAAGTACCCAACAGAGCTGGATGGACTCAGAGACCATCTACTGACATGAACTCGGATTCGAACTCGAGACTTCCTGATAAGCAGTCTAGCGCTCTACCGCAAGGCCACAGCGTCCCATAACCCGTATGATGTCAACTCCAAAAATCCCTAAATCCCTAACTCAGACCCAGGCGACATAAACCCATCTAGAAGAGAACTCTCCAAAATCAAACAACAGATTTTTCTTGAGTGGATATGGCTCTGATGCAAATCCCGAATTTAAAAATAAAAACTAGCTGAAGTCGGAGTCAACGAGTAATATTGCGTGTAACATGTTGACACGTCATACTTAATTATCTTTGAAAAATACTCCGCAATATTACAATAAGAACGATGAAGCAAACCAAATGATCACAACAGCTAAAATTAGTTTGTATTTAGAGATTGAAAAGTTATTTTAACAAAAAGAATACGATAACCCTTGTCTACGGTTCAAATAACTTTATTCAAAATCTGATTATAAAACGGTATGGCTTCTCAATTTTACTTCCTTCACGAGTTATATTTTCTTGGAGTTGTCTTTCCCTGATTAAAGAGTCGCCCGCATTTCTTGATCACGTGACGAGTTTTTTTTTTTTAATTTAAATTCTTTAAACAAAAAGTTTTT